ATAGAGGTTCACACCAGTTAGAGAAATATCCAATGAAAGCAAGACACCTAGGCAATGACAACTATAAAACAGTTAAGCTCACTCACTACGAAACATAGGTTACACAAACTACGAAACGAAAGATACATTCACAATATACAAAGAAGACTTAAAGTATAGCAATAACGAATTCTTTCACATTAAATTAAAGTCAGACACACCACATCAAAACAACAAAACCTAACAATTAGATTTTTAGTATCTATCCTAATTTTATTAGTGTTTCTTTTGATTCTCTTATATTAATTTCCTAATTTTTTTGTAAGTTGTTTGTATACTATAGCATCATGATTTTAATAGTCCCAAAAAATACCCAGATAAGATTAATATTAAAGTTTGGATTTTGATTAGATTCTTATTCTTACATACAATATATGTATCAGAAAGTAAAAAAACATAAGACGGGGGGGGGGGGGGGGTAATGGCCTCCCCTCCTCTTATTCTAATTTCCTAGTGGTTATTTATATCAGGAGTTGTGAGACGGGAAAGAGCTCGACAGTTCGGACATGGATCTCGGCATGCCATCGACATACCACTCTATCTTCTCGGCAAGAGGGAGAAAATGGATTGCTCTGCAACTTCTTGTCCAGTCTCTATCTCCTCTAGCAAGTGCTTAACTAACGTGGGATAAGTGTTTTAGAGTAGGTGGTATTCGACACAATCGACACCACTCCCCACAACCATAGGGTAAAGAGCTAACTCGAGATTATATATTTTGGTGTGCTTTAATTTGTTAAAATATATATTTTTAATTTATAAGCACTATAACTTATAAACATTATTTATAAGTTACTTATAAAGTAGTATTATTATAAATTTTCATACACAATACTTAAATAATTTATAAAAAGAAATGAAACACATCGAACTATAATTTTTTATAAAAAGGAAATCAACATTTATATTATATAGGTTGCTCTTTTATTTTAACTTTTGTTTCATAGGACAACACAAACATTCACACAGATGTCTTACAATAGACACCAATGAAATTAGTAGAACGAGACCCCACATACAACTTTCCATCTTGTTCTTGAACCAAACTAATCGATCTATTGAAAAACTCTCTAGCAAACGATATTGTTTGTAGCACAACCCCATTTGAGTTGAACCGTACGCCTTGAGGTTTAATGAGAGGCATCAGTGGAACATATCCTACTGAAACCGCCACCCAAAACTCACCTAATTTCCCAGCACGTTTTATTTGATTTGGATTACCAACAACATTTAGCAAAACTTCTGCGGTATTTGCTTTAGGCCCCACAAGCCAATATTTTAAAATCCGCTTGCCAAGAAACTCAGGTACAAGAACAAATGTACCATCACTACTGACGGCAGGTCCACCACCACCTGAGACACCGCTCAACAAAACAGACACATGTCCCGTACGTGGGTTGTAACGCAATAATCTTCCTGTTGAATCAGGCTTGAATCCTATTTGTGTAGTATTTCTGCATAATATATGACATATATGAAATAATTATAAATTTGTGATATAATATGTTATAACATGTGTATTTGATGAAGTCAAGTGGTTACATGAGATTAAAAGTCAAACTAGCATCACTAAAATAAACATCCCCTGTTAACAAGTCAACATCAAGACCACCAGCAAACTTCAAACCTCCAACTAATTGATTTGCAAGCCCGCCACTGAGGCCCACCACTAGAAGTCCACGATATGCATCAGCTATGTATAAAAGGCCAGTATAAGGGTTAAAGCTAAGAGCAATTGGTCGTCCGCATATTGGTCCCAGATCAAGATTTGTAGTATTATCACATAGTTTCTTTGTTCTGAAAATGTATTCCATGAAATTAAACAAATTGTATAAGTAAGATGCATACTCTGTTAGGTGACCAACATAAAAGGTAAGTCCATATTAGAACTGAAACCCCAAGTTTAGAAAATATACTACCATCTTTGATACATATAATTAATTGAAAACAACCTTTTTGGTGATGTATATGCAAAATCCACAAAACCGACGGTATGGCCTTTCCATCTCATAATTCTACCATCGGTTACGGGTGTAAAGAGTCCGTTGACAAGGTGTCCTATAAATGTAGCTGATTCGGGGCCGGTGACACCTAAAGGCAATACTAACTTCTTACAATTGGTGAAGTCAGAAGAAACAGAGATTCCAAAAACATAAGCAAGTATAATAAAAATAAAAACTAGTCTCGGAGAAGCCATATATTGATATGTGAATGGATGAGGGAAAAAGCATTCCATTATACTTATCTATATATAGGAGTAAATGTCTTTCTAATGTTTAAAAATCTAAAAAAATTGTGTTATAAAATTTAGTTATACTATCATATTAAAATACTAGTTGTGAGACCTATGTATTACATGGTTAATTTTTTTTTTTTTAAAAAAAAAGTTAAATATAAAGGTCAAAATATTTGAGAACTTTGAAGTTATAAGAAAATAAGAAAAATAATGATTTATTATAATGGAAATGTTTTTTTATCTTTTAAATTTAAACAAACAATTTAAATAAATAAACAAAAGAAACTAATGAACTTTAATTTTGGGAATTTTGAAATTAAAAGGTAAGTTGATTAATGAAATTGTTATCCATTTATAACTACATTTATTGTAATTATTACATTAAAATATTATGTGGAATTTAATAAAATAGAATAACTCTTAAAATAACATTTGGGAAAAAAAATTAATTCAAAATAACCACAAAATGAGATTAGGCAAACTGAATGAGAGGGTGACAAGTGGCAAAAAAAACCTTCATTTATTAGAGTAGATAAATTTTATATAACCTTTGTAATGAAATAGAATGGTTGGGATTTCCGGGTTGGAAAAAAGATGAAGATGTGTCTGGCTAAGGCCAACATTATAAGACTAATCCTCAAACGTTTAGCCAAACTAGTATGAATCTCTCTCTCTCTCTCTCTCTCTTTATATATATATATATATATATATATATATATATATATATATATATATATATAGTATCTTTTGTGAAGACTTATTTTCCTGCGAACCACGCTTAAAATGCAAATTTTTTATATAATTTTTTTTTTTCAAAAAACGTGACAAAAAGCATAAAATCTTACCTATAGAAGCATATTCACAAAAGAAATCTCGAAAAAAATATACATACATGATATGTGCATATCTGTAAAAACGTCATAAATTCACAAAGTTATTAACAAATTGACATATTCACCTGTCGTATATGCAATTTTTTTTCGATATTTTTTTTGCGAATATGCTTCTATATGAACGATTACACATTTTAAGAGTGGTTCGCGTGAAAATATGGGTTCACAAAAGATTCTGACCACACACACACACACACACACACACATATATATATATATATATATATATATATATATATATATATATATATATATATTAAAATAAAAACAGTAAATAGTATGAAAACTTAATAATACTTTGTTTATATTATTATTCTGCACTGAATGTTGTATATGTGTATTATTGAAGTAATTCTAACGTGAATATTAACATGTAATTATTTATGTATTCATTGCTGAATAATAACATAAAGTTGGGGATACAAAAATTTTATTACAAAATAATAAGATAAAAGTAGAGTTTTTACGTTTACACACTATTTACTATTTTATTTGA